AGGGGGGGGGGGGGGGGAGGGTACATCAACACAACAGAAATTTGGAGAAAACTGAATTTTTGTTTTAAGTTTTACAGCGCTTTATTATTTTTGTACTTTTTACACCAAAAAATTTCATTGCCCGCGCAGCTACGATTAAGTTGTTTAAACAAATGTGTTGGTATGGTAGAAAAAAAATGTGTCTGAAAACTGTAGGTACTTATAATTTTTTTTTAAAGGGGTACTTTAAAAAAAAAAAAAAAAAAAGGTTGAGAAACATTGGTCTAGAGGACCCTAACATTCCACTCCAAGGGAATATGAAATCAGCAGAGCAGCAGGAAAGAAAACAGGAGAGCAGGTGCAGTTTGGGAAGAGAATAGAAGCGTAATAGAGCAAAGATTAATTTTTTCAGAGTTCTATTTTCAAAATACTACCTATGCCAGGACCCAATTCCTATTGCCTCTCACTGGGAGTTGGCATGTAACTCCTAGGATGCCTGGGCAATCTCTCCCCTATAGTTTACTCTTGATGGCATCCGAGTCCAGCAAGTGTTGCTGGAGAAAGACCTGTATCTGCTGCCATGCATCCTCCTGTGCCTTGGCATGCTCCCTCCACTGCCCTCCCCACAGCATCCATATCCCAAGTGGCCTGTGATATGAAACCTGGCACAAAGGAAAATACGGTGGTTCCAGGAGGTGCCCTGCCCCAGGATAGCAGTAAAACTCCACATCTCGGCCACACTGCCGAAGGTGGTGAACAACGTCTCGGCAGTAGAGCTCGCTTTTCAAGCTTCTGTCATTCTGTGCTGACAAGAAGAGGAACTTGGCGGGAGATTTCTCTACTGGAATACGGCTGGACCAAGTGGCTGAGTCCCTAGGATCATCCAGGATTTCTGAATAATCTGCCATTCCAGATTCATCGTCAATCTTCATCCTCCCCAAGTCATACGGATGGTGAGGAATGGTGAAACCATTAACACGCAGGGGGATGTAGGTATTAACACCACATCCAGAAATGCTGACAGCTGCTTTGATGCTTGGCAGAAATGTGGCCAGAGAAAGGGCAAGATCTGCTCCTTTAGATAAGCCCAAAACTCCGATCCCAGAATCTTTCACCTGAAACACAATTATGGACCAAATCATCATCACGTGCCATCTTTCCCCTAGATGACTATAACCATCTCCTCTCCAAAGCATTCCCACTTATCTCATCTCCTCTTGCTCCAGACCAAACCAAAATTTACCACCTCTTTCTTTCCCCACTGCTCTCACCACATCAATCCTAACTTGGTCTTTTTACTGGCTTCCGGTATCCTGACCTCAAATTCCTCAGGCCCCCCCTTTTTCTGATCCCATGTCTTCTTATTCCATCTCCATATGCGCCTCCCTATCCCTTCCCTGGACTAAGCCCTTCTCTTCCCTCTCACTGTCTTTCTGCTGTTTCACTATGCGCCAAGAATCCACCCTCTTTAAAACTCCTCTGGAAACCCATTTCTTCCATGAATCCTTCCTAGGCTTATCTCCTCTCTGCTGACTTCTCAGCCTCTTTTGAGATTGGCAATCTCAGTCTGGGAGAACCGATGTGGAGGGGATGTGCAGCCATGCCCAGAGACTGTTAAAGCTCTTTCTTTGGGGCACCATTTGTCTGTTGCACCATCTATCTTTAGTAAATCTCAAAATAAAACAGTTCAATGTAACCCAACAAGCTCCCTTTCCCCATCCCAGGGCCTTCCTTGCCAGTCTTCCAACTTCTGGCAGCCCTTCTCCAGTCTTCCTATAGACCCTCTGCCTGGGAAATCCCCTGCTCCAACAACCAACTTGCTTCCTATAACTCCCCCCTTGATCAATCTCTTCCAGCCTTTAAAGGAATCAGGTTCTCATCAGGCCCTTCCCTGACTCCTTCTCAGCAGAGTCTGATAATCCCTTCTACTAAGCCCATACACCTCTTCTTAAAGGAGTTTTGCCTCCGAACAGGGCTGGCTGACCTGAGGCCTCTGGTCTTCCAATGGGTAGCCCACCTTGTAGGGCAGGGGTGGGCAATAACTTTTGGCCCGGGGCCACTTCAAAAATTGTTGAAGTGCCCATGGGCTGCCCAGAAGGGGCAGAGCCTAAACTGAAAGGAGCGGGGCCAGGATGCTTCTGGGCTACGACACCCACAGACCATGATTGGTCTGGGGGGGGGAGCCCCTTTGCACCCCCCTTCCAACTAGGCACCCACTGTGCCTTGCCACGTGCTCCTCCCAGGGCGGGAGGAGGGCAGGAGGAGGCTTCAGGCGCTCCTCCTCTGCCCCCAGGTCAATCATGGCCTGGGTGTGGAGGAGCTGTGCAAAGCTTTCTTCGCCCTGCCCCTGCCCTGCACAAGCATACAGGACTTTGAAGTGCCGTTTGCTCCTCGCATGGGGGGGGGAGGGCGGAGGAACTTTGCGCGTTCCTCCCACCCCCAGGCCAATCAGGGCTTGGGGGTGGGTGAGCGTATGACATCTCCTCCCACCCTGCAAGGAGCGCATAGCACTTTGAAATGCAGCATGCTCCTCACAGGGAGGGAGGAAGTTTCACACGCTCCCCCACTCTGAGGCCCAATCGGGCTGGGGGCGAGGGAGCGGCAGGGCCTCCGTGGGCCAGATCAGCCCGCTTGGCAGCCCGCGGAGGCCCTTTTGTAAGGCGATCTTTTACCACCACAAATGTTGTCTTGTCTTTTGATTTACTATGTATAGGCTGTTTTGCAAGGTACTGAACATCCTGTTCTCCCATTGAAGACAATACCTCTGAAGTACTCATTCTTCAGCATAGGACTCTCAGCCCTATGTTGTGTCTTGTAAAGGGCCCGAACACTTACAAAGCTGTATGATATTTACTCTCAGCCAAGTAGGATGGTATGAATAAGTCCTTTGGTCATTTCACTGTATCTGACTGCTTAGGGTGACCAGATGTTCCATTTTTAAAGAGACAGTCCAGTATTTAATCCCTCCTGCAGGTGCGCCAACTTTTTTTTTTAAATGGGTAAACTGTCCTATATTTTGTTTCCCCCTCATCGGTACTGGTGGGTCCTACTACTGGCCAGATCCCTGGTTGCCAGCCATCTGCCCATCGCAAGTGAGTGTTGGTGGGGTGGGCAGGCAAAGTTGGTTGTGGGGTGAAGATGCAGTGTTTGGGGTTGACTGGTCCCCCCGCTGTTATGTCAGCACAGCCCCTTCTGTGGGCCAGCTTTTGGCCAGTAGGGCCCTGCCCCGTCATGTTTCTAGCTGGCACTGGCTGCAGTCAGAGAGCACAGGCAAATGCTAGGCAGCATTTAGTTATGTGTCTGTCACCGCTGCTATTCACCCATCAGCCCCTTTACATGCTCCCCCTCTTGCTGTCCTCCACCTGCTTTGGCCCTTCAACCTCTCCCACCCCACACACATCCTGCTGCCCTTCATAAGCCCCCCAGTGGGGACCGTTCTGCTTCCAGCACTGCACAGTGAACCAGCCCTGACTGGAGCACTGAGCTCACCAACAGGCTGGCTGCAGGCTCCTTCCCTCCCCCACTGCCTCTGGCTGGGCCGGAGCCCTGGAAAAGCTGAAGAGCCTCTGGCCAGGGGTGCTGGCAGTTGCTGAGCCCAGCATGTGCCCACACCCCACACAGCGCTGCATGGAGAAACCCTCTGCTAACCTCTGGAGTGGCAGGGCATTGGGGGAAGGGACAGCAATTTCCAGCTTGTTCACAGCCCAAACCTGCAGGCTCCACAGCAGCCTCTAGGGCAGGGACTTAGCACCAGTGTTTCCTCAAATATTTTCCACCTCTGAGTAGAATGTGTTTTATGTGCACTAGCATGGAGGTGATCTGCAAAATCAGCCTTTTCCTACCTTCTCCTTCCCTACAGGTGGAAACCGTTCCCATTCCTTCTCTCCTGCAGTGCCAAAAGGCTGCTTCTGGCCACATTCTGGTGTGAACCCTGGCAGAAATCTGGGAGGAGTGCATGTGATACCCCAAGAAGATGTTGTACCAACTACCAGACAAGGCAGCTCTTCCTGGCGGCCCAGCCAGGCATGGAGGGTGGAGAGTGCCAGGCAGGAAGTATTGGGTCAGTCAGTCACCCCCACCAACCCACCTTATGAAAAGTGCATGTATATGGGCAGGTGTATCACCCCTCCCAATCTGACTCTTAAAGCCTAAAATATAAGAAGGTAAAAAGAAAGAATCCACCTGTGCACTATTTATTTTTAACAAGGACTCAGTACACTTGATGTTAATTTGAATGTTTGTACGATTGATTGCCATTGAACTTGCTTGAATCTGTGTAATTTCACCAGGTACCCTATATTCAGCATAGGGAAACATGGTCACCCTATGACTGGTAGGAAATAACCAATGCTGCAAAACAAGGTCATATTTATTTTAAAGCTTGAGGAGTGTTTTATTTTCCTTTACAGTTTTCTGTGTATAGTATGATGTCACATTGCTCTTCATTCAATCCCCATCAACCACTGTTGTTTACAATGGCCTCTGTGTACTCTGTAATTTGGTTCTCTCTGACACTAAAGCTTTAAGAAGCAATCTTATGAGTCTATATTAGAGTGCTCTATTATTGGCTTCTAAAACTCGATTTGGGGCCACAATTGTACAAGATTCCAACTTGAGGGAAAATTTAACACAGTAAGTGAACTGATTTTTTTCCATTCCAAGGTCGTTTAAGCCTTAATAATAGACACAAAGAATTATAACATGTCCTGTGGCAAGCAGCTTAGCATTCCTGTAACTTCCATCTGTGTTTTCCAATGTGTAACTTTATATAACAAATGCTACTTTGCTCATCCACTATAGTGACTTTCCTCCAAGGAATCACAAAGTGCTATGTGAATCATTCATTAAGCTCCCCAGCTCCCTGTGAAATATCATTCTTGTTCCAGCTGGGGGAACGGAGAGCCAGAGATGTGATATACACACCAAATTAGTATCAAAACTGGGATTAGAAGTCATGTTCCTGGCTCAGTCTTTCAGATAGCACTGTCTCCTTCTACTTCTCTCAGAAACTTAAGTGTACTTATGGGCATATACATCTCAATATAGGAAAGTATGATATAGCCACCAGCTGGAAAAACACTGTAATTGTCTCATACCTGCTGCTGCTTCTGCAGAAACTCCACAGCCTCTCTAAAATAGTCCAGTTCAAGGATGTCTGGGATAGCTGGGATATCTTCGAAGGCTAAATAAGCAACAGCCAGGGTTACAAAGCCCCTGCTAGCCAAGAGACTCGCTCTGTACTCAACAAGACCTCCTCCAGATCCATATAAGTCGATAAGTCCTGGGAATGGACCAGATCCTGAAAGGGAGGAGAGCTCATTCACTGTGGAGGAGTCATACAGTTGCCTATCAACAATATTACCTCAGCATGAAGTCATACAATAGGTCTTGACAGAAAATCACTCAATAGACTTTTAAACTAGATTCTCTCTCTCTCAGACACAGACACCTCTACCTCCTCCCCGTTTAAGGACTTGTCTAGCTTGAAAAATAGACTGGCAGCACCAAAGCAGAATAGTGCCAGCCAGTGCTCCCTCTAAGATTTTCCATCTATGAGCAGAGTGAGTTTTGTCTTGTGCACCAATATTGATGTAATGTGCACTTGTTTGGATGTGTCCCACTGTGTCACCCACCAGTTACTAACTCCCAGTCTCACTCCCACACAGCCTTGCTCCCACCATTCCTGCATCCATGGGCTCCCCAACCCCCGCACCCCCATCCCATGCCCCCTTTACCACTAACCCTGCATTGTGACCCTAACTTTTGCAGTGTCCCCTTCCTCACAACCCCTGCACTTTCCTCCCAGCTGTGCCCCCAACCCTACCCTGTTCCTCCAGCATGTCCTGCCACACTGACCCCCTGCCTAGTACCTCCCACCTCCTTTGCCCAGCAACACCCATGTCTGGTTGCCCCTCACCCTTTGGCTATGGCGCCCAGGGCATGGTCCCAGATTACCCAGCCCTAAGGCGAGCCCTGCCCCAAGATACGTATGTAAAGCATTGCCTGACTTCTCTCTGGTCACACATGGAAAGGGTTCTAAAGACACAACATCCTAAAGTGGCTGCAAAGATCTCCATGACACACCAAGACATATGGGACCAGCCTGACAAAAGCGAAACCCTAAATCGCCTCTTGTGCATGCCCAGCTTTGCACAAGCATTCACTTGTGTGTGCATTCATCACCTTCTATCTCTTGCGCCTGCTAGCAGCAGTATTTAGATGTGCACATCCACACAAGGTGGTGGTGTGTGCATCCCTGCAGTATTAATCACTAGTGTGCAAGAATGGCTGCACCGATAAAGCCGGTCCCTCCCAGCACCATCTCTGCAAGGGACAGGGGAGGCAGAGGCACAAGGGTAAACAGCACAAGCAGGGACTGCCTCAGTCCCCTCTCACACCAGTTCCCACTGCTGGCGTTTCTGCTTTTGAAATGCACAAGAGCCCTTCGAGGCTCTTGTACATTTCAAAAGCAGAAGTGCCGCAGGAAGCATGGGGTGAGCATGGATTTGAGCAGTCCCCACTTGCCCCATGCTCTCTGTGGCAACCCCCCACTTTGCTGCTTCTATGAGAGGCAGCAAAGCGGGGACAGGAGCTGGTGCAGGGGGGTGCCAGCTTAAAAGCCTATCAGAGGCAGCAGGGGAAGATAGGGGACACTACTGTGAAGCAGCCCCTGTCCACAGGAGTTCCAGCAAGGAGCTGCCACCCCCCACCCCCAACAGAGGCTGTTGCCACCAAGCAACTCCTGTTCCCAGCAGCCAGCCCTGAGCAGCCCTTGCCTGTGGCCAGTCCTGGCTTCTGCGAACAGGGACTGTTGGACTCAGCGCAAGCCAGGAATCAGCAGATCGCTGTGCCTCTGCCCAGGGGCTCTTACCACATTTCAAATGCAGAGCTGCAGCACCGGTGGCTCTGGAGCCAGCATGAGCCAGAGCTGCTCAGTCCCAGCTCGAGTCGGCTCATCTGGAGCGACCCCTGCTATGCCTCTGCAGAGGCGCTTATCGACTAATCGTACAGTCGATACAAGTTATATTGACTATATGATTAGCCAAATAATCGCATTTTAACATCCTTAACTTTGAGTGCTCTTTAAACACAGTTTGGGCAAATAATCACTGCAACTTAGCAACAGCTTTCCTCAGCATCCCAGCCTCATCAGTGTCTCTGTTCACAGCCATGAAACAAGATATTTAATCCTCCTTTAGGCTCTCACACCTGTTTCTGTGTCTTCCTACCCCATTTCCATAGTATACATGTATCCCACATACAATAATGAATTTATCCTTTTCGTTCCCCATTTTACAGATGGAGAGTTTATGCGCAGAAGATTAAGTGACCTGTCCCAGGTCACTAGGAACGACTGTGGCAGAGCCAAGAATTGAATTTAGGTCACCTGAGTCCTAGACCAATGTCTTCGCCATTGGACAATCTTCTCCTATACTATTATTTGTATTACAGTAGCACCTAAAAACCCAGTCAAAAGTCAGGAACCCATTATTAGGCCTGTACAAAGGGTTTTTAAAAAACAAACAAACAAACAAACAAAAAAAACCCACAACTGTTCCTGCCCCAGGGCCCTCACTCCACCCCTGATGCTGCCTGCATCTGCTCTCTTTGCTTTGAATGGAGCAGCAACAAGAAGAAAGTAGCTGGTACATCATATTTTACTCCCACTCTTCTCAGGGAGTATCAGCCAACACTAACACTTGTGCTCCTAATGCAAAAACTGGATCGACTCCTTTCTGTGGGCAAAGGAAACCTTGTGCTAGATCCAATAAGTTTATCCAAGGGCTATAGTGCACCTTACATGATCTAATAAGCAACTGGAAAACTAATTGGAAGTTAAAACTCACCAGGAGGCAAGAAGAGAGTTGCCTTGAGCCGACCTTCCCTGACTGGAATCCTCTTCACTCCCTCTCCCAAAAATTTCCGCTCATTAATGCATTTGCCCAGGAGCTGGCTGGTGATACTGTGGCCCTCAAACACTTCCACGTGCACGTAAAAAGGGGTTAGGACATTCTTCTTCGCCAGCCGTTTGAAGGGTGTTTTAGATTCCAGTGACCACAGCAGTCCCATGGGTTCTACCCCAGAGTAGCTGCCAGCCAGCGCTGAGGAGCATGTCAGGTCCAGTTCTCCATTGCTCTCAGCTCTGTAGTAGGCAAAGGATTGGTAAAGTTCCTTGTTCTCATCAATCAGGGATGCTCTCAGGGTGACCTCCTGCAGCGGTGAGAGACCTTCCACTTTAATCTGAATGGGATCATCAAACAAACACTTCGGAGAAGGCAAGATCTTCACACTCACAGCCATCGAGTGTTGGAGGAGTTCAGCCTAATGCAGCTACCTGTGTGGCAAGAATTGTCAGAAGGCTGTTGTTGAAATCCCTGCAAGTGCCAGAGTCAATAGGAACTACAGACTTGGAAGCTTTGTTGCAAAGGTTTCTGGGAGATGTAGTTCAAAATATCAGAAAAGGACTGCACAGCTCCAAGCTGGGAAGCTTTTGTTTGAAGAGACTGTACTGAACTATTAATTCATTCATTCCAGGACTCGTGATTTAATATTTTAGATATAAGAAACTCCCAACAGTGCTGGAATGAATAAGAAATATTTGGAAACTGACAGTGTTTCATATATATGGGGCCAAACAATAAAAACAGTTCTAAACCCGATCTTCTCTCCAGACTTTGGGAAGTTTATATCTGATCACAGAATTAATTTGGAAATTCATGGCTCTATTAAGGCACACTGAATCCAAATAACCCAATCAGATTCTAATTCAGTTGTGAATCTAAATTCTGTGTCTTGAATACAACTCTAGTTTTCGGTAACTGAGGAACTGGGGCTATGTGAAAAATCAGGCTTAGGGACAGAATTAATTTGTTTCTTTTGAAAGGATTTTTCTGACAACCGCTGTCTAAAGCAGCGGTTTTCAATTTTTTTTTCTCGTGATCCAGTTGAAGAAAATTGTTGATGCCCGTGATCCAAAATAATTTGACTAAGAGTGTGTGCTCTGAGGTGGGGCTCAGGAGGAGAGCTCTGGCATGTAGGAGGGGGCTCTGGGTTTCGGGGGGGAGGGTCGTCATGGCTGGGGCAGGTGGGACTTACCTCTAGCAGCTCCTGGTCAGCGGTGAAGCAGGGATGCTAAAGCAGGCTTCCTGGCAATGCAGACCATGCTGCACCTCAGAAGCAGACAACAGCAAGTACCCAGCCAATGGGAGTGCAGAGCTAGTGCTCAAGGCAGGAGCAGCGCATGGAGCCCTGTATGCTCTCCCCACTGCTCCCTAGGAGCCAGGTCTGCTGCTGAGCACTTTTAGGGTGCAGTGCAATATATGGTGCTACCTTAGCACCTCCACTGGTCATCTGATCACCCTGCAGCAATAAGACCCAGTGCCTGACAGTCCACCGCCTAGTACGGGGTTGTGACCTATAGTTTGAAAACCACCGGTCTAAAGTTTCTATGCATTTTCCTGACTGATAATACAGGAATACAAGTTTCTTTCACTAAGCCTGATAGAGCAATATGTGTATATATCTTTGAAGATTTGTAATAATATAGGTTGAACCTCTCTAGTCCAGCACTCTTTGGTTTGGCAACATTCATGGTGCATGGTGCAGAATGATTTTAGTTAGCCGGGTGTCCACTTATCATGGGTGTGACCAAATTTTGCAAGGTCCCATAAAGCTTGTTTACAGCTACCAGTCCTGGCTCTCAGTGTTTCGTACTGTTAGTTAGCTGTACTTTAACCCTAAATGTCTTCTAAGAGCCCAGAAGCAGTGGAAGTGTTGGCAATGCTTCTGGACAATAATGACCTCCTGTGGTTCAACAAATTGTCTGGTTTGGCACCAGTCAGGTTCCAAGGGTGCTGAATTAGAGAGGTTCAACCTGTAAATAAAGTTTGGCATTCTGTGTATTAACAACAATGCTGTTGAGAAAAGCTATTGTAATAGCTATTTTTTAGTAGCATTGCCACATTTAGCAGCATTGCCAATCCTACAGTTCTCTAGTCAATTGAGTTCAGTGAAAATATTCATGTAAGAGCTGTAGAATCCGGTCCATGACTCTCAAAATTCGCTGACCATGTGTTTCATACATTCTAAGCACAAAGGAGCCATTATTTAGTTTAACCTCCAAAACACAAGCCACAGAGTTGTAGAACCCAGAAAAGCAACCCTTAAAATGCCACTAAGCAAGTGGGAAGGTATAACTACAAAAAAAAAAAAAAAACTCTACACAACTACAGGCAGTCCCCGAGTTACGTGGATCCGACTTATGTCGGATCCGCAGTTACGAACGGGGATTTTCTCGCCCCGGAGGACTGGAGCAGCGGGACACCTGGTCCCGCCGCCCGCCTCCTCCGGGGCGAGAAAAGCTGCTCCCCATCTCCCTGGTCTGCTGGGGGAGCCAGGAAGCAAAGTGGCGGAGGACCCGGGGCCGGACCC